ACTCCTATTTTTAGTATTAAATTATCGAACCCAATTTTCATTTTAACAGTGTGGATCTTTAGGTATATGCTGTGTAAATAGCTGGAAATAGAGTGTTGTTTTGGGACTACTGCCTGTCCAGTACCTACCAACTGCACAACCCCTCAGACTTCTCCAGGCACTTGGGGAAATGACACCACTCCTAGAAAAAAAAATGTTAGAAGTGCCCTCACAAGTTCTTTGTGGTTAAAACTCAAAATGTGGAAGTGATCCAACATTGCTGTTCCCCCCTGTTTTGTGGGAAAACTGTTAAATAAAAGTGAAACTTGGTACTGTCATCCAGCAGTGAGAAATGTGCTCGGCCAAGAGCGTGTGTAACACATGAGCAATGCTCAGCCTGTTCTGTAGCCCAACTGTGTAACTTCTTGACAAAGACAAAAATCCTCTTTGCCAGGTTCATGGGGGTGGAAGAAAAGGTCAGATGACTCCTTGGCCTTCAGTGATTCTGTCACTGCAGAAAGGTAAGTCCTGCAAGATCCATTCAGACCTGCCTGTCCAAAGAGCTGTAGAGCCCCTGTTATGTTGTATGCTCTGTTATACTTAGATAGTCAGATCTCTTTTCCAGCTTGAAAACTGGAAAAAACTCTTTCTCAGCTCATCTCTGTTTCCTGGTGTTTGCCCCAGACTTGTCCATTGCTGATAAAAAATAGCGTTGTACTATCCTATGGTTCTCTGAACTTCCAAAGTAATATCTCTTTCTGTGGTCTTTACACTGTGAATTCTACTCTTTCCTGACACTTTCAAACATCTCTCACCCCACATAACATATTGAACTTTTACTTTTACCTACAGTTATCCCTTGAACTTTCTTCTCTTTCATAAACATGCTTCTGCAAACAGTAGTGCCTGGGCCTGGGCACTGATCACATTGTAGTCCTCAACAAAGGCTCTGTTACCTCTCTTGTGTGAGGCATTTCCATGATCCCCAACAGACTGGCTTTTCTACAGCTTGTTCTGTACCTCAAGTAGTTTTTAGCACAGTTCTTCTCATGCAGTACAGAGCAAAGAAGGAAAGCAGCTCTAGCAACTATGTAGTAGTGCTGGAATCAAATATACACATTTCTGGTGCTGAATGTGCAACAGAGTAGCTGGATAAATTTTGGGCCAGCAATTAATGGCCTCTGTAATCATGCACCTGGTTTACATCCCTTCAGAGCTGCACCATGGAAATACAACTTCCCATAGAGGTTGAGGATGCTCATTGCAGGGGATGTTGGACTAGATGAACTTTAAAGGTGTCTTCCAACCCCAACTATTCTATGATTCTGTAAGTTAGGGCCTATTCTGAAAAATAATACTGACAAACATGTTTGTGTGACATAAAATGGCCAACATAAAATGTGTGAATGTATTGTAGATGAGATTTGCTCAATCAATAGGTTTTACAAGAAGTTCTACTTGCTCAATCAATAGAACTTCCCCCTAGTCTGAGTGGGATGTGTGAGGGGCTAAAGTCCAGAGTCAGCTTTGGAAGGCGACAGAAACACAAAAAAACAGTCCCAAAGAGGATGTTAAGAGGCCATACAGTTCATCACAGTGTGCCTGGGCAGAATCATTTTACCAGTGAGTCCTAAGATGGGGTTGGCTCGTCTATTCTCTGAGTTTCTCAGTGACAACAAATCCACAGCCTTCCCAGACAGCCTGTTTGTATTTGACTGTGCTATTGGTAGAAAGCTCACCCCACTATGCAACTTAAATCCCCTTACTGCAAACTAAATGCAAAATTCTGTTTGCAATTCCCTGCCTTGCAGACTCTGCCATGATATTTCACAGCCTTTTGAGGTGCTGTGGTTTGTTTGTAGGAGCCACAACTACCCCTGTTCTAGGTGCTGCTCAGGTGCCAGACAGAAGTGAGATTTACTTCCCAGAGGGTTAACAAACTAGCAGGAAAGAACAAAGGAAATGAGAATAAACACAAAACAAAGGTCATGAGTTTCAGGAGATTTGTACCTTGACAGCATCAGAATATCGTATTTGCTGACGTACCTCCTGGCCACCCACACACAACAGCTACACCTCTTACTCAAAGGCAAGCCACGGATCACTGGTGCCCTTACCAGCAGTTAAAAATACACAGGCCCAGTGACTGCAGCCTGTATTTTTAGGGAAATATTTGGGAAAGAACACAAGTCAGTGATGCAGGTTTGACCCCAGCAGTCAAAACTCCACCACAGGGGAACTTTTTCACTCACCTCAGCACTGAACTTCAATCCCAGAAATTGGCTTTTTATCATTTGCAGTGTCAGGATATGCATTCCCTGCCCTTTAGATTGTCTTTAGGAATAAGAATAGGTTATTTTCTTTCTAATAAGGGGTCGTGCTGGCTATAACAAGCTTCACTCTACTTCTCTCACTCAGGGTATTGATTACATGCCAAAGCCACTTCCTCCTCTACGTGAATCAGCTGAGAAATGGCAGCACTGACAATGAGTGTTTCGTGTACAGCTCATCATCCTGAAGTGCTGCGGTTTTTTAGTGTTTTATGATCCATAACCCAATTATAGGCCACTTCATTTTCCAGGAGTACCAGCTCACATATGCCCATACACATCCACATTTATTTTGTGAATGCAAACACTCTCCTTTTTGAAACACCAAAGCAACTTGGAATCACTGGTGACAGTAAAAATAAATTAATGTAGAGCCCTAAGTCACAAAGGCACAGAGAATTTAAGGTAAAAAATACAAACCTTTTGAAAAAAAATATGGAAATGAAACTTGGAGTTGGGTTCATTGCACCTGATGTTGTCTGTGCAAAATGCTGTTTGAAAGCAATCAAGACACACACAGCACTAAAACCATTTAATTTAAGATGATGCTGTCAAGATCCCGCATTTGGTCTTGAGCTGACAGTCACCTGACCCCACCATAACCCAGTTCAGGTTTGGACTTGTCCAGTTCAGCTCCCTGATCCCTCCAGGCAGCCTCAAACAAACCCCAGTCTCTACAAGGAGGCCAGTGGGACTATGGGAATACAGCCAGGTTTGGAAGAGAGAGAGAGAGACAGACTCTGGCAACACCAGCTCAGGGCAGCTCAGATTTTGCAAAGTGGTCACAAATAAATAAAGCTGAAGTTGCTTTCTGCAGTGTGGTAGCAACATAAACCTTTCTCCATGCCTCCCATTCCCTTCCTCTTCTCCCCAGTTCCAACAGGAGGGGCTCAGCTGGCTGTCTTCCCAGTTTGTTTTGCATTGCCTTGTCTCATTCCAGTGGCAGGAAAAGCAGTGTTTATTTTCAGTGCCAAACCCATTCTGGTTTTTCTATCACAAGGAGAACCCTCATGAAGAGAATATGCTTCACAGTGATTGATACTGAAGGCAGGGGGGTAATTTTCACAGGCTCAGCTGAATGTTTTGATTCTGGTCCTGTGGTCTGTGCATAAAGAGAAGATCTAAAGTCACTTCAGAAGGGAGTAGTTGAGTAGTTTTACCTTTTCCAAGTCTCTGCATGTTAAATGTCTCCTGGATGCAATGCATAGTTCCCTTCTAAGGCTAAGGGTTAAACATCATCAAGAAATGTCTCTGATATGTCAGGGCAAGAGGAAAAGAGCAGGGAAAACATACTTTCCACTGAAGTAGATGCAAGTAGAATCCTCACTGCTGGCTAGGATGCATCATGGCATGGCCTTTTAAAAAGGATAGAGGTAAAACAGCATCTCCCAGCCATCACAAGAGCTGCTTGAGATCAAAACCTGAACTTCTTGCTTCTTGTGTCTATACCAAAGTGAACTGCAGCTAATGCTAATTCTGTATATTCAATGAACCAAAGAGCAGAGAACAGAGCGATATCCCCCCAAAAACCTGGACAGCAATGGCACCTCCACTAACAGTGTTCTTCAGAGGAGTCTCCAAGGACACATCACGCCAGGGAGAAGCTCAGAGCAGGCTGTGGCAGTGCCTGTGTGCACACTCCTCCCTCAGACTCCACAGACATCCAGAGCAAGTGTTTGTCACACGGATGGGCCCACCTGGATTTTTGTTACGCCACAGGCTGGCCCTGTTTGTGAGGCTGCTGCAGGAAAACTCTAAGCAGTTAATTTCTAGCTCCCTCTTTGCTTTGCTTTGCTTCCCCTTCTGCTTCCATCTCCTATTTTACAGAGAAAAAAAGGCAGGAGGACAGATGGAGCCAGCAAGGCCAGGCATCGAGCATGATAAGCTCTTTGCCCGAGGACCAAACCCACTGTCCATGACTGCAGTGAGTCCAACCATCACTCAGAAGTAGCTTATGGAAGTGGCTTCTCTGATCCCTGCTTCCTGCCTTTTTTCTGTTTACTGCTCTGCTGTTTGACCTATTCAAGCCCATGGTCTGAGCTTTTACTCCACCCAGTCCATGAGACAGAAAAGTGTTTCTGACTATTAAGAGTTCAGGGTTTGGTTCCTTTTTTTTATTATTATTCGGCTTTGCATTTTTGCTTGTGTGTAAGAAAAATAGATGCAAGAGATGGTTAGAGAATCAAACAAGAGACTGCTTCCTCAAAATGTATGCCAGGAATAACCTCAAGCTAGTGACACTGGATAAGTCATTTTTTTTCTGGATGCTGGCACGTTATGACTGGCGAGTAACTTACCAACTTTTCCAGCTCCCACAATGGATAGTAATCTGATATAAGTTAGACTATCCTGGGTAAACACTCATCATCCATATTAATATCTGCTCTGTCTGTGATTATTGATCATCCAGCAGGAAGGTGACGTGCTGCAGATGCACAGGGCTGATGTGTTCAGAGGGTATTCACCTGGTTAATGGAGTGCATCTCCAAGTGTATCTGTCTTTCAATCATTTCAGTCATGACTTCCTGCAAGACTACAGGTTTCCCTCAGGAGTCATCAGACCTTCTACTTCTCCATCTACAGGGCTGACAAGAGATCCCTTCAGACTCCTCCGCCCTGCCACGAAAGGGGAGGGCACCTGCACTCCAAAGGTTTAAAAAGGGACCTCTGAACATGTACGAGATCTTGTGACACGTTATCCCAAGAAAAGAAGACTGAAGGTTTGCTGCTGAGATAAGTATGAAGGTAAGTGAGATTTTTTTTAGTGTGTAGGAAACATTTAGCTTGCAATTTATGGGGTTTTTTTCATGTGAATGCAATATTTAGGAACTGCAGAGGGACTTAATGATTTTACCTTAAAAATAACCTGAGGCAAACATATAAATAGATCTATTTAGTGTTCTTGAAACAACTGCACTAAGAAAAGAACATAACCAGGATGAAATAAACCACAGTGAATGAAATCATGGTGTTAGATGCTCTCTATTGCCCATCACTGTACTCAACACATGAATAACAACATGGTCTGTGAGCACAAGCAGAGATACAACTTATTCACAGAGGATTCACGCTTGGTGCTTTCATTTGCATGCGCTGCACCAGTGGACAGGCTCCAAAAATCAAAAAAAACCCTGTCTCATGACATGTGTGTAATCATGGTTGATGTTAATAGGATGATAAGTTTAAAAACTCCTTTTTGAACTTGAGAAGTCGTGATTTGGTCTCCTTGTTGGTTGGCTTGTTTGTTTGGAATGACACATTTGCTTGTTGTCTAAGGTTTGGTAAAATCAAGGTAGACTTTGCACCATCTTTCCCCTCAGTTTGTACATTATTCTCATTTTTGGAGGATCTGACGTCTTTGCAAATAGGAGCACAAAAGATACTTGCCTTGATGGCAGTTCTCACCTTTACAATGAGTTTGACTGAAGAGAATAAAGCATGTTTAACATCCATCCTCTGATCAGAGCAGTGTGCATTGAAACACCCACTGAGCAAGAGGGGGTTTGGCAGCAAGGCAGCAACAAAGGGAAACACCCTCACATTTAGGTGTGAAGTTGAGAGGATCTACAGGTCTGAAAGTCCTTTCCTGTGCCTCGTTGGCTCTTTGTTGTGCACAGGGGCTGCATAAACTGACAGCATCAGGGCTGGCACTGTTCCTGGCAGCATCCTTTGTTGTGTTCTCCTGGAGTGCCCCTCAGGTGAGCTGCTCAGGCTGGACCTGCCTCATCCATGGAGCTCAGAGGTTGGTGCCACTAAGTATTTGTACTAATTAGCAAAGCCATGCAATGTTGACATGTCTCTTTTCTCTTTTTGTTTTGTGTGAAGGCTCATTTCCAAAGGAGAAACTGGACTCCTCAGGCCATGCTCTATTTGAAGGGTGCACGTAAGTCCCGAGCTCTCTCTGTTCTGAGGAGATGTTGGCTCCACACAAGCAGTAAAGCCTGAGGATGCTGTGGAGGTAGAAGCTCTGAGGACTGCAGGGATGTGCTAATTAGTTATTTCTTCTTGTCTCTGATACAGTGGCATTGGCAATATTATTATTATTATTATTTTATAAAGAAATCAAACTGAGGAAAGCAAGTGTTGGAAGGAGAAAAGAGAAGAAAGTGCTGAAAACATGCAGAGTTTGAAACTTCATTGTAAAACCTGTTAGAAAAGCAGTTTACTTACCTGAAATAATTTTAAAGGGGGCTTAAAACATACTGGATATAATTATTATTTCTTTATTCCTGTGCAGGCTTTATTAAAACAGTTTCTCAAGCAGTAGGAGAACACACATTCTTATTTCAAGCATCTTTGCATCAGAGTTGGTATTAAGACCACAAGCAACATCTTCTAAGAGGAACTTAGATCAATATTGTGATGTTAAGGTGGTGTAAATGACATTTTGAGTTTCTGCTGTTAGTCCAGAGTTAAAGTACAATTAAATATAAAAATAAAATTCAGAGCCAAAGGTTTTTTCCTTCTATTCAAACCCACAAAATTTTATGGAAATAATAATATTTTTAATAAATTACACTCTGAATTATTGTTTCAAAATTAAAATCTATTAGGTAGGGTAGGTATTGAGAGAGCAAGAAAAATAGCTTCCTTGAAATTAGAAAAAAAATGAAGGTCATAATCCTGAGAGAAATGCAAAAGGGAGACAAAACAAATAATGGCAACACAAAATAAATATAGGCTCCAAACATAAACATAACTGAAAGAAGTTCTTGTGACATTAATTTCTATTCATAAAAGAAAGAATTTGCCACTTTTTTGTTTGTTTTTATTTTTTAATTATTTCAACTGAATTGTATTACTTCTATGCCAAGCTTTGCATTATTCTTACTGCTGCATAGGAAGAAATGTGACTTTGTTTTGTTAGTTTGGGGTGGTTTTTTACACTTTTTAAAATAGAAATATCACTTTAAAAGGCAATACTTTATAGTCCAGCAAAGAGATTGAAGGCTCTTGACCACAGAGCAGGAAAGAGGGAGGAAAATAAAGTAAATTCCTCCCTATGTGCAGTTCCTACAGTAGGTTAATGCAAGAAAGAAAAGTGCTGAAACACCAGTTCTGTGGAATAAAGGATGTCTCTGAGTGTTCTGGTCCAGGATGGGCTAATCCTGATTTGGAAAGACCCTGAGATGGACTTACAACCTCCCACTTTATGCTTGTAGAAGCAGTGCTGTAATTCTGCATTTTGAAACGAGCGCTTTGGGGACTGTAAAGCAGGAATTCCAACACGCTGGGGAGGTTGTTTTTAACCCTTCTCCCACTGCTTTTGTAGAGGGACGTCGGTTCATCCCAGAGGAGAGCCAGAGGAAGGATCTGTATGACAGGATGCAGCTTGGTAAGTGCAGTGCACAGGGGCAGGTAATGCACCGACCCTTCCACAGGTTATGGGGGAAGAAATATGTGGGATTTGTTTTCCTTAAATAGTATACAAGGAAGCAATTAAACCCCCTTTTGTTAGTTCCTTCTCTCCAAAAAGCCCATGACAAAGTGGCTTTCCATTCTCGTGCACCTGTGTGACTTTATTTACATAATTTCCAGACTGACCTGGCTGCTAAGTGAGATTCTCATCAGTACTTTTGGCTTGCTTTTTCCACTGGGAAAAAATCAAGTCAAGTTATTAATTGTGCTGAACTGAAAAAATTACAAAATTAGACAACATTAACCTGTGCCAGCCAATGTTTTTGGAGGAAACAGATTTTTGTAGCAAAGTAAGGAACATACAAAAAAAGAAAAGAGACTTTGAAATAACCTCCCTCCTAAAAAGATTGCTAATATCTTCTGTGTTATCTATCAGGCTCAGCAGAGGATGTTACAGAGTGAAGGAGATAACAGTATTTTCTTGTCCTTGTGTCTCTAGTTACATAAACAATAATAAAACAAAGAACAAAGCAAAGAAATGCCCTCAGATGCTAACAAACCATGCATCTGTGATTTTATCATTCTAGAAACACGAAGCCAAAACACAAATCCTTTATCTCTTTCTGAAGCTGCTGCACTGTTCCTTAGTTCCTTACAGAAAGCAAAAGAAGGTAAATGCATGTTTTGTCTTACTCTGATCTTTTTAAAAAGGAGTTTTTCAGCATTTCATTTACTAACAACTTAGTAAATTGATCTAGTTTGGATTGAGATGGTGTTCTACAGAGCGCATTGTGTTACATTTGCACAGATTAGAACAAGAGTCACATAAATGACAACAGGTATATTTTTGTATATTCTGCTTTTAATTTACTTTTCAGATTTTTTGCTGGTTTAAATGGCTAATTTGGATAATTTGGGAATGGCTAATTTGAATTGAATTTTCCAAGCCAAATCTTTACTGGGACTCCTTTTTCTTCAGAATGTTGTTTGCTTTTAAAATTTTCATTCCTCCACTGGATCTTGTGTCCTGGTGTGAAGGCTTTAAAAAATCTGTAAAAGCCCCAGCAGAGGAAATGTGGGATTCACATTTGGCTCCTGAAAACCCAGCTGCTGGCACAGCTGACAGGAGGTCCCAGTGACACTCAGAGCTCTGGAACATCCTGAAAAATCCCATAATTCACGTGTTCCCAGCCTCCCAGAGATATTGTCTAACCCTCCAGACCCTGAGGCCTCACCACCAGCCACGTGCTTCCACTTCTCACTTAACCTCAGAACACACATCCTCCCTCCACAACACCCTCAGCAACACCCAGCTGCTGAGTCAGGTTTAAATAACCTGTCTTCCCTCACCTCCTTCATACATATTGTACTGCCTTGATGAGCACCCCTATCCTGTGTTCCCAGCTCCCTTACCCCGTATAAACCACCTTTCCTCTCTAGAGCAGCTTTCCTGCAAGGCCATTATCCCCTCGTTGTCTGATGAACAGATACAGCTCACCAGGCTGAGACCCTAAATCCATGTCCTCTCTCTTTATGCCTTTCACCTCTTCACCTCTGAAGGGACACAGACTCTTTTTTTGGGAGGACAGAGAGGAGGATAAACCCTAGAGACTGTGGAGAGTCTGTGCTGTGCTCTGGCCCCGGGTGCTGGGCAGGTTGTAGTAGCACATACAAGCCCAGGAGTTTGTCCAAATTATGCTCTTCCCCTCTTTGGTTCAGGACAGGGAGGAACACAAGGTGGCTAAAAACCACCAGGCTGTGAGTTCCTTATTCTGACTATCAGTCGCTGACATGCTAACAGGGGGAAAAAAGGGCTTTACTTGAATTAGGAAATGTGAAGTAAACCCCTAGTAAATTATGAGGTGATTGTGTACCTTTGACACCTTTCCTGAAATGCCAAGAGGGTGTGAGAAACACCTCCTAGAATTTACCTGCTGTATGGACAGATGTGGTGGAACCACTCCTGTCTTTGCCACATCCTAAAAATCTCCCACTGTACCTCATATAGTGCTGAGGGTCCATGTTCAGCTCTTTTTCCCTGTCCTGGCCTAACTACACTAACAAAAAAAAAAATTCAGTGGCATTTTGCAAAGAGATAGAGGCAAAATTAAAAATTAGCATTGTGCTTTGGACAAAATATATGAGCAGTTCTAAAGATAAAACAGTGAAAGTGTCATTTGTATGCTAGCAAAAAGAGAAAATCCTCTGCAGGTGGACTTTAATAAATTTTAGTGGTATTTTCCTGAATGCTGCTGTTCCCAAGAGAGGGTAGACAGCAACAACCTCCTGAGGAAAAAGGCGACATATCTGAGAGAGCTCAGAAGAACTGGCAGCCTGTTTGAAAAAATTACTATGTGGAGTAACATGGCCATCATTGAGCAGGGAATAATAAGACATTCAAACCTGGACAAGCCATACACTTTCAGAGGGTAATTTTCAGTTGATTTTAGAATCCTCTTGACTGGGGGCAATGTGCAAATAAAGAACAAATACATTATTTTCTTCCGCATGAAAAATTTTTGCCTTATACTAAGATACCCCTCTGGACAGGGTTTGTACGTTTGCTCTTCAGCAAACAGAAAAATTCCTACATTTAAAATGAGAGAAGACATTATCATTTCTAGAGATGCCTGCCCCTCTTAGCTAAGAAGTCACATTACACTAGATCTGTGCCTGAGGCACATCTATCTCCTGAAAACTTTGCCTGACTGAACTTCCCTTTATCCACAACTTATGTTTCCCCCATTGTGTTTTGTCTTTACAGTTGAAGAAGAAAACAGTGATCATCCTGGCTACTTGACAGACAATCTATCAAACTGGTGAAATATTTCAAATTTCTTTACATTTGTATTGCATCGACCCTGAAAGCATAACTTGTGTAAGCAGTGTGTTTCATCCATTCTCACTTAAGTTCACAAAGGGTGACATATATTTGCATTGCAAAATTCTGAATGCAAAGGGATTAAAAGGTACAAGTTGAGATAAGGGAAAGCATTTGTAAAGTTCCTGCTTTCCTTAGGTCTTTTTCTATGTCGCACTCAAAATTTAAAATACACGAAAATACACGGAGAAATGGTTAAAACTGTCTTTTTGGACAACTACTTCACTAAAAACAGTTTTTCAGTTGTTATTAGGAAATCTTTTGTCACCTTCCACCCAGCTGTATATTGAAGCTTTGTTAACTTTCATAAGGACAGATTCTTTTACCACTTCACTGCTGGCCCTGTAAGCTGCTAGTGGTCAATAAATTAAGTGAGACATTAAAAAAAATCCAGCTATTTTTTGCTGCAGGTATCAGTCACCACAGGGAATAGGCAGCAGCACCTACTGCCCCAGTTACACACATGCAGAAATGTGAATAATTCTACTGAGCAAGTCCAGCCACATGAAGACACTATGGGGACTTACATTATCAGGGCCTCATTAATGACTGCACAGTTATTGTGCTTTTTTGTTCTTGCTTTTTGAGTTGCAGAACTGGAATTGTACATAACTGTTAATTATCAGTCCATGCTGATAAGGATGTATCTCACATTATTCATGTCGTTTTGTGCTCTTACTGGAAAGCCCTCTGTAGTTCTGATGGTAATTAAAAAGTAGCCACATGATTTTTGTGTCCAAGCAACTATGTTTTATTTGTTCAACCTTTAACCCCAGTCATGCTCTTCATCTTTGAACACTGCTTTCCTCCAATCTTTCTCAGGACACTGATAATTAACTTGGTTAACTCACACTAACTATAATTCTGCTTCTCCTCAACACAAAGAAATGCAGCTGAAGGAACAGAGGAATTCATTTCTATCATGGGGTTAGAGGTACTTTTAGTAATTCTTTATAATCTGTATCATTTTATGGGGAAACATAACTGGAGGAATCAAAATGCCCAAGTTTGTTCATTTTTAAGCACTAATATATCTCTCAATAGCAGTGTATGTTGTGTGACAGAATACATTCATGATGAACTTCACCTGAAGATCAATGGTATCCACCCAAATCCTTTCATTGATGTAACTGCCCTTTGTTTCAAGGCTAGTTGCACCATCTCAGATGCATCTAAGTTATTTTTCAGCATATTTTACAGTCTCATCAGACAGTGCTCAGACAAAAAGTATTATAGAATCACAAAACAGAATCACAGAATGGCCTGGGATGGAAGAGACCTTGAAGATCATCTAGTTCCAAATGCCCAGCTGTGGGCAGGGGCACCTTCCACTAGAGAGGTGAAAAGTGAAGGCTTATCCATCCTTTGCTTTTTTTAGTATCTCGAAACTCATATGCCTCTAAATGCCCCAGAAATACAGAAACTGTACTCACCACATTCCCAGCTGACTGATTTTTGTGTGTGCTCCTGATCTAAGCTCTGTAGCTTAAACAATTCTTTACAACTATCAAGAATCAGAATAAACATTCTGCCTTGTTGGTGAGCTGTTTGTGAAACCCCCAGTACTTTCCTTCTGGAAGAAATCACTTATGTAAGAGAGAGCTGCTACCAAGCTTGTCAGATGTCAGTAACTGCTAGAAATGTGTGGCATTTAATTCAGGCAATCTGTCACCATGACTGAATGAAAAGTCACTCCCTCCAACACTCTAAACTCAAGAGGCAGAGATGTTCTGCTGTGGATAAATTGCCTTGCTACTAATGGCTTAGTCCTGGCATTCAAGGCAGGACTAACATAAGCATCAGGCTTGAGGCTGGAGTCACTTTGGCCACTGTAGGGCCATTTCTGAGAGGAATGGGCAAAGCATTCACATTAATCATATCTCAAAAACCCTTCTATTGCCCTTTCTAACACCAGCTGGGTGCTCAAGGCATGTGAGTGTGCTGAAATACTCACAGCTTTTCTGCTGTACAGCAGTGCTCTGAAACACAAGCAGTAATACCAGATTTCTGGATTTATTTTTTTAAGAGAACATTAACTTTCAATCAATATGCCCTTTAAATGTTCTTTCCTTGGGACTCTCAGCCATTATCTTCTTTGACTCTGCAAGGGAGCCCTGATTAAAAGCACTTTGTGGAAGAAGCTCAAGAACTGCAGTTCTCCATTTAGTAAACTTTATGAAGAAAAATATTGGCAACATCTTTGCTTTCACCACTTTCATATGAAAAACTACTCATTGTTTTAATTATTTTTAAATGGCTAAAAATATTCACTCCTTTTAAATTGAAATAATTTTACCATGAAAGCCTGAGCCTACTTCTGAGAATAGTTATTCTTTCCAGAACCCAAACCAGCTTAAGAATGAAAGTCTAATTTTAAAACTGATTTTAGGTGGCCAAAAATACAAACAGGCACATTGTCACTTCTATTCTATATGGCCTAAAATAAGAAGCATGTCACCAAATGGTGGTTAAGTGTTTGAAAGGGAGGTGCCTAATCAAAGTTGAACATCTAGGCTCCCTCTGGAATCAGCAGTGAAGGCACCTCCAAAGGTTACACCCTCCTACCTGCTGAAGAACAGGTTGAATCAACTCCTGGAAATGTCTTTTCTTAAACAGCATGAGAAATTCTTGATGGTTCCTTCTAAAACAAAAGAGGAATCTCCTTCCTAACATCTTCATGTCAAGATCTGCTTCTGAAGAGCATTTTCAGGAACTGCATCCCTAGGAACTGAAAAGCTTTCTGTAAGGCAAACGCAATGTCCAGTTCTTGTTGTGAGGTGAAATTCCTCCCCAAGCACTTCGAAATTTCAGGTGCATTTCAAAATCCACCTGGGGGTTCTTTTAGCATTATTTTTTAGATTAAATCTCTTCTAGAAGTGAAGTAAATCGTGGACTAATAGGGCAATTGTTACTTATCTTTGAATGTTGCCACATCACCCTGTGGCCTGGAGGTTTGTGTGCAGGGCAAGGTGTTACTTAAGGAAGTTTTGCCATTCACTTTAGCCAAGCCACATTAATTTCCTCCCAAACCCGTTTGTTAACAAACTTAGAATCTAAAACAAGATGAAAACAACAAAAGAGACATACCAGAGGAATCAGAAAATAAATGGTCTGCTGTTTATTGTGGGTCTAAATGACTGCAGAAAGATGACTTCTCTAAAACTCAAAATGCCCACTGCATAAGACTTTTACCACTGGATCAAGACACTTCTGTGTGCTGTAAAAAAAATGTTTTAAATTATGTAAGCTTGTAATAAACAGCATAAGGAAAAAGAAAGACCATTTTCTTTTCAGTGTATCTTTTTTAACACTTCCAATATTTCTCCAGTGTAACACTTTTTTTCCCTCTAATTCTTTGAGCTCTGGTTTAAAGAGGAAACATAAACGAAGCAAGAATTCATTCATTTGGGATACCCAAAATGGAGCTACCTGTGTAGACTATGATTAATGCAGTGATTATGTAGACAAAGGTATGATCTGCAGTTTGTAAAAGCTCCTGAGGGGATTGTTGCATTCTCTAGATTTATTAAGCTTGAGAAATCTCTTCTACCTCAAAGGGGCACAGGAAAATTGTAATTTAAACTACTTTCAAGGTGAAATAATATTAGGCTTTCCAACAGTGTAGCTTAATTAACATTTAAGATTCTCCTAATTATATCACACTGTCCTTAATGCAAAGCTTGCCAAGCCTACAGGAGGAACTGTTGAATGGATGGAGAGACACCCTGCCAGAGTGGGAGCAATGAATTCAGTTCCTGTATTCCCCGTGCTGCTTCTTTTTTCCTTGTGGCAATGCTCCAAGGGAAAAGGGAGACTTGATGTTTTGCCTGTCCCTCTCAGCTTCCTCATCCTCATCATATCTTTCATCCTCATCTTCATCTTCGGCTTCGCTGTGCTGGGGGCTGGAATGCTGAGAGGCAGAAGGTGATGGTGGCACTGAGGAAGGCCTGGGGTACCTGAAACCTTCCGTCTGGCAGAGAGAGAGACAAGTTGGATGTGTTAACACAGTGTTCCCCAATCGGTTGTGCACAGAAATTTAAGGCTATCAACACTTCAAAGGGAACAGGGATGCTCTGCACTCTAAAATTAAGCTCCCTTAAACCCAAATCCCCTCAGTCCTCCTCTGTCAGTGAGTACAGGCTTGTATGGCACAGATCTTTAGCCTATGCCATAAATAACATGCTGCCCTTCCAGCACTGCTTTTTGCAAGATATGACAAACTTAACTGAGCCTTAAAACCATCGGCACAACTCAAAATCCTTCTGTACTCTACAGTCAGAATATGCTCACTGAAATTCAGTCTGAAATTTCCAAACAGCTTTCTAGTTGTAATATCAACATCTGCAAAACCAGAACAACCAAGGGGTTTAGGTCTGAGTCTCCTTCTCTTTCTTATTAAAAGAAAAAAAAGAGTTGCTCTCTGGAGGTTTGGTTTCAAATAACATTGTTTTTACAGTGGTTCTGAACAGCCTCCCTTCTCAAATTGGTGCTAACATATACTAGGCAAGAACTGCTTGAAGGTCTACCTTTAAACTGACCCCTAGCAGTTCCAGACAACATACCATGTTTAGATGAAGGCAATGCTTTGCCTCACATTCCCTAGACTATCCTTGCCTTTTCTCTTTGGTTTGTGCAGAACGTCCTCAGGACATTTATCAGAAGTAATATTAGAAGCTGTCACTCTTAAAAGAGGAATTTCAAGGGCCGGTCCTTCAGCTGGTCCAAAGAGTCATAGTCCCATCCAGGTCACTCTAAACCATCTGAAGAGCTGTTCCTTTATCACTCCTGACTGGAGACTGGGTCTGTAATTAACTATGAATTCCTATTTCCCTTCAGTTAACCCAAAACTTGCTCATTCTCTTCTCCCTCTTTCTGCCAAACACACACACACACACACACTCTTTCTCTCCCTCCTTGTAAGGCAGTTAAAATGAACTCAAAAGCAGACTTTACCTTTGGTGGAGCACTTAGGTCCATCTCAAATTTATCTGGGAATGTTCTGCTGAGGGCCAGGTGTCGGGCATGCATGTAATACTGCAACACAAAAGAGAAGCCTTTACAAGTCCAGGAAGTCTTGGGTAGATTTAAGCAGGGGGGGAAAGGAACATAAAATGAGTATGTTCTAGAAGATGATGCTGAACACAGTCTAAACATCTGTTCAGCTAAGCAGAGTCCAGCTGATACTGCTGCCTGTAATGAACACATTGTTGTAAAGCAGTGAGCCATCCATGTTAGATTCACAGCAAAAAAGCCTGGAGCAGAAGCTGAATAAGGTTCCTGTAAGACTAAGACGTATTAAGATGGAAACTAGGACTTGTCTTGGTCAGTGTAGTTCTTAGTGAGGGACAAGTATTCTTTATCCCTCAAGATAGAACTGGCTCTCTTTTAACCAGGAAAATTGACATCTTTAAGTGT